CAAACTTTACCCCCATCCCTTACTGTTGTGTCACCTCAACTACAGCTCACTTAAGAGCTGGAGGTGCGCTGCAATCCAAACTCAAATGAGGAATCCAGAGGGAGGATCCTCTCAATACAACACAAGACCCAGGAGGCGGTTCTCATCCCGTGAGAGGACAGCTTGTTACCTGCTGCAGTGAGAACCACCAGTCTACTTAAAGTGGAAAACACCCAGATTAAACGAAACCATTGAACAGATGGCACCGTGTGAACGTGACCTAAATTCCTCGCTCATACTATCTGTTTTTGGTGAGACCCTGAGAGCACGCACACACACACACGCATACACACACACACGCAAACACAGGCACACGCACTTGTACACGCACGCACACACACAAACCGCCTATGCATAATTATCTTACTATGTATCACATAGTAATTCCATATGTTGCTCACTTCCTCAAAACGCATGCAGGATTCAGATAACAACATCTGTTTATGAGTTTACCCATGACCACACTTTTCACCTGCAGCAACCGAATATCAACTGCATGAAAACTGCACATTTTTAACAGTTTAAAAAACTTTAATGCAATTAATATAAATGCAGAGAAAACCTGCCCAAGCTTAAAACATGGAAGCTTAAAGTAAACTGTTGCTATGTTTTGCATTCAGACGTGATATTGTTAACGTGACCCTTGACTTTTATACATCAGGGAGACAGTGTGATTGACAGGTGTAAAAGGTTGGCTTGCAAAAGCAAAGAAAGGGAGGACGGGGAAGGGAGGAGAGGAAATGAGGATGAGAAAAACGCTGGCGTCTCTGGAGATCAGAAAGTAAAGACACAAAGTGAAGCCATAAAGACGTAAAGTCATTTTTGTTGAAAGCTCAAACACGTCTTATTTTCCAGTGGAAGACGGAAAAACAAATGGAAATGATTTAGATTTTCCTGCCTGACATTTGAGTTTGATCTGCAGGCCGGACTTGAACGCAGCACGGCAGAATGAAGAAACAATGCACATTTCCAACATTTTTAGGATCCATGTGCTTCTCATGTGTCATCACAAGACTAAAACGGCAACATCACAGGGAGCAGAAATTATACACATCTGCTCACATGGGCTTGAACCAACAGTATGAACGTGTCTGTCAATATTTCTGCACACGCCATCGAGGAATTCCGCTCCCGTGAGTTCCTTAAGAAAAATGGGCCATGCAGGAGGAAAGTGGGTCAGGAGCTAATTCGGAGTGCCACACTTTCCTCAAACAATAACAACAACTTTCCTTCTCCGACCTGTGCAGATAAAGCTGTTGACATTGTCCACCTCCCATTCAGGAGACTGGATCACCTACGGCAGGAGGTGGCTATTGCTCCGACCTGCCTGAGGCCAGAGGACACAGAGCAGAGGTCTCAGCCTAAAGACCAATAGAAGAGAGATGATACAGATGGGAAATTCAAGAAAGCAGACACAGCCTGAGGTTTAAATTAAATGAGGAACGTTAGACCTCACATTTGGTGGTTCAAGAGCTGAGTGCAGGCTGCAAACTGTGGTATGGAAGTATAGGAAGACTTGGGGCAGGACTGGGAGAGGGGGAACAATGGCTAATGGACAAAGAGGAAACTCATGGGAGTGCAGATCACATGCTGATAGGAGGTCCTGCTGCTGAGTGTCCAATTTTAACGGCACTTAGGAGCCATACACATGTAGCAAGTTTTTTAGCTGTTAAAATAATCATTTTAAAATCTTTCTTCCTTCCTCGAGCCTCTTCGCTGCGCTGGTAAAAGGCTGCAGGACCACACACAAACACACACGTGTACAGGCAATACACAAATACGCACCTCGGCATGTGTCGCCATGCACACACAAATTCACAAGTAGCAGAGGCCTACGTGCACGATAATATTATTATGCTCTCTTGTGCGTAAAAAAGCATTTTATAAATATGCATTTGAATGTGATTCGTCTGATATTTGCTCAAGGAAACCAGGAACATTTTATTTGCAAGCAGACTGTAAAAAACAACAAGTAATAGTATTCAAAGTAAGAATAGAAAGAAACCAGTTTATGAAAACTTATACTATAACTTGAATGTTCTTGTTATTCCATGTTAATCTCTCCTCATTTCTAAGCTAAAGTAAGTTTTAGTGTTTCAACAGTCAATGTGTGCATTTAATCTGGGTTATTTGCATATGTATTCTTTATATATAAGGAAAAAGGAGGATCTTGCAGACTGGAATGCAGCAAACAGTTGCAGTAAAACAAATCAAGGTGGAAAATAGTCATGGAAAAAAACCTAAAAAAAAAAATCACTGTGCGAGGTTGAGTTACAGTTGGAAAAGAGGAGACAACAGAGGAGAGAGAGGAAAAAGGAACAGGGGGAGGTGAAGGAAGAAAGAAAGCAAGAGACTGGGACTGTGGCCAAATCCACTTCCAGACTTGTTAAAGCACAGATTCACACTTCTGCTATATTTACCACACACACACACATTTACACTAATGAGTCACCGTCATTAAGTTATATAGATTTATTACTGGTTAATTGCTGAGCCAACTGCTTTTCTGTGTGAGGTATCTTATTCATGACAGGCAGCGGCAGTAGTAGAAAACATTCTCACACACGGACAAGTTTAGCACAACTCTAAAGAAAACGTCATGGAAGTGACCCACGACTTAAGTAACAGCTGAAAGGAGAGAAAATATTTGTGTTAAATCTCGGCATTACACTGCTTATATAGAAATGTGTGTCAGAAGTTGGGCGCAGCTATAGATCAGCTGAATCCCTCCAGTCAGACATATTAAAAACATATTACCGACATGGAAGGGACACGCTAAAAGGATTGGCAGGCCATAGGTCAAGATTACCCCCAGCCTCCCAAGCCCTTTCCAATAACATGTAAATTCTGATGGATTATATGTTTTTTATAATCCTGGACTTCTGTGAAAATGTCGGGAATGTCTGTCTGTGTGTGTTTGGTTCAGGCCAAGGTCGCGTGCAGCTTAGCAGCCGCTCTAAAATAGCAGCACACATCTAAAATATCCTTGAGTGGTCATGTTTACTAGCAGTAGTAGTGGGTGGTGTGCTCCTCCAGCTTCTCTGAAGACACGTGGACTATGGGATAAACAGCTGGAATCAAACTGTATTTACAAGCTGGATTCAAAATCTCATGAATGAAATGCAGCTACATTTCAGCTACAAAGAAAATGTGTAAAAAGAGTTTTATTCACACAGAAATAAACTCCTTCATTATGTTTTATTGAATCTTGCAATTAATCTAGTCTGCTGTATCTTTGCTGGTGGGGTGAGAGAAACCATTTGTCCTTTGTTAGTCCTGGACAATACTGGGATTTTAGATGAGGACTTAATACAGATCTAATATGTTGTTTCTGTGTAGGACAATATAGACAGCAAACTAAATGGTCATCGTCCTTTTGTTGCAATGTGCAATATGAGGTAAAACCTCACAGGCACAGGCAAATAAATGTGGGATCAAGTAAAGCACTTAAGCATCTATACAAAATTACACTGACATATTTTTTAAATTTAAAATAAAAAATGTTTCATCTTTGCAGGGATTTTCTTCAGTGGCTTGAGGGCAGATTTATTTCAAACCAAACACTGTCTTGGCATGTTTTCCCTTTCAGCCACACACACAAACAGATGTATTCAATAAAAAAAACACACCACAGAGAGATACGTGCTGTGTTTGATTAGAAACATTCAGTCAGATAAGAATAAGACCCCCCCCAGCAGAAAACAGGTATAGACTCCAGTTGTTTTGGGAGGAATTCCCTGTTTATCTGACAGAGAGAAGAGTGAATGTCAACTATGTGGGTTCAGATATGTGCACATCATATCTTGTCGCGTTGCAGCTGAGACACAGACCACACAGGCCGACAAACATGGTCTGATTAGACAGGATTTCTGTCAAACAGCCAAAGTGTTTCCTCATATCAGAGGAGAAAATAAACACGCTCAAGTGAGAAAACAAACCTGAGGCATGAACGCTCAAACAATGAAACTAATCTACACTCCTCCCTCAGCGCTGCCATGTTTGGATGAAGTGTTTCTTACACACACACACACACACACACACACACACACACACACACACACACACACTCTCTCATCATATGCCACTGACGGCATCACCTCCAACCTCCCTACAGCCTCTGGGGCCTCATTACCCCCGCTGCACCTCTCCTCCACGGACAGTAATGTGACCCCCTGGTGATGGTGGCAACACCGGAGACACCTCAACTGTAACGAGACACACGCGCGCACGCAAGCACACGGATGTGCAGGCTCACACACACATACAGACAAAACATACCAAAATAAACAATCCCACTGTGCAGGGAACGCAACCCTGTCGCCAAGACATCTCCCTGGGTTGCACTTAACTACAGTCGCCATGACGCCTGTGCACGTCAATCAAAAGGGACACACTCTGAGGATAAGAGATATGGACAGGGGTCAGAGTTGGACTCATTAATCATCGGCTCCAGACTCTCGTATCACCAACTCTGGAAACTCGAGTCCAAGAGGCAAAGGAGAGAAAATACAAAAAATTTGAGACCAAAGACCAAAATGAAGGGAACGTCCCTGTTAATTGAACAGAGAGTTTCAATTAGAAAACCTGTTTTTGTTCTGGTGACGAGCTGTGTGTGTTATCACATGACAAATAAACTAAATCTCAAAGTTTGTGTGTCTTTTTGTATAGGCTCTCTTAAATATCTGTGTTTTTACACCTGAGTATGCACATGTTGTGTATGTGTACAAGCAAGGCCCTGAGTGTGTGTGAGTGTGTGTGTGTGTGCGTGTTATTGCAGAAAACTACTTCTGGGTGGTTGAGGTTTGACGTACAGGCATCCTGTGGGAGACGTTCCCAGAAGTCCAGTTTTATCCCAAAGTGGGAATGCAAACAATCCAACAGAAAGGATACCACATGAACACAAGCCCCCAAATACACACAGTCACACACAAGTGCACGCTTTCACTCGAGGGTTATCGTACCTGCTGATCCGCTGGGGATCCTTGCAGCAGCCTGAAATGAAAATAAAGAGAGGGTCAGAAAGAAGTATGGGAGAACAAAAACAAAACCAATTAAACAAATACTAACACTGCACATGAAGACTCCGGCTTTGGAGAATATAAACTCAACATTATCCAAAGACAATGACCCTGCCTGAAAATGACTACCAAAATCTTATTTAATTATAAGCCAGATTAATTTCCTAACCAACCGGAAAGAATATAAGTGAAGGATATCTTGTTTCATTTGGTGACGGAGCAACTTAAATCATAATATATGATGAAATTAAATTAGAGGGGATGTGTGTGTGTGTGTGTGTGTGTGTGTGTAATAACAATAACAAGGGTAGAGTAAAAAAAAGTGAAGATGAAAATAAGGTTAAAAACCGTAATGGTAAAATCCAGAAAAAAAAACAAAACACACGACTTAAAACTCCAGTTGCTAGAATATTAAAACAGGAAATTAAAGCTTAGACTCAAATCGTGAGGAGTACATTACAAACATACACCAACACTTAAAAAGTCCCAGAATCCACAGGAAATGACAAAGATCAAGGAACTTAATGACCCAGATTAATTTCCTAACCAGTGTATGAAACATTATCCCGACACAGTTAAAGTCTCCTGAATGCCGCCGCTGTCACAGGAAAAACCCCACATCCCTTCGAAGACACTGGGATTTACCAAATGATCCACCTGCAGTTTTGGGAAACTCGTGAAACATTCTCATGGGTTTTCCACAACTTTAGGGTCAAACTGTTAATAATAATTAAGATATATTAGAAAATCAAATGAAAGCAGTGATCTTAATTGTGTTTTATTGGTCTGAAACTGCCATAGTTATTTTCTAAATAGCAGGAAATGACTAAATACATGTTTAAAAAAAAAAGACAATGTCCTGGAACCACTTCATAATAAACTGTCTCTGGGAAATAATCTACAGAGTAAATTAGCTGTTTTTGAAAGTACAGTGTGAAAAAACATTGGTCCAGTTTAATATAGAGGCTCTGCAAACTTTGGACCAGAGAAAAGAAGGAAAGTTTTTCTTTGAGTTCTGTTTTGAGTCTGTAGAAAAACTCCCCAGTCTGTCAGTTATAAATGATACATCTAATCATCAGTGTCAGAAAACTGAACAGCCAGACAACCTGTGCAGAGAGTAATAAAGAAAACAATGATAAAAATATATTAAAAAATAATGAATAACTGGAACTTTTCTAAATTCGGAGCTGAGAATCCACCACATATCTTAGTGTGTGTGTGTGTGTGTGTGCGCGTGAGTGTGTGTTTTATTGTGTGTGTGTGAGTGTGTGTGTTTCCATGTCAGTTTGAACAGCTGTACTTTATCAGTCATGGTGAGGCGAAAATAAACCCACTCCTTAACATCAGTCTGATCCCATGGCCCCTGCTGCTCTCTACCTACCTACACACACACACACACACACACACACACACACACACACACACANACACACACACACACACACACACACACACACACACACACACACACACAATTCTGCAGAGACATGCCATCTCTTGTGGAGGCAGAACAATGAGCCTTTCAAAATCCACTTTTAAGAAAACATGAATAAGATTCTTAAAAGTGTTAACAGGCCGACAGAGGCAAATCCAAGACGAGTGAGCAAATGATTCCGTGCTGATGACGACCATGTGATGATTAAAGCTTCAGGAAAAGGACTTTAATTTGGGATTCATTGATCAAAACACTGTTTCTAAGATCAGTTCCCAAGTCTGTTCATCTTGATTAAAGAGGGTTGTTGGACTTTTGAACCGTGCAGTGGTTTGTTGATGGTAGTTTTCATCATGTTGCGCAGTGCTGACACAGAGAGACGTGACCTTGCATCCAGCTGGAGAGAGCAGAGCTGCCTCATCCTTTTTCTTTCACCTCATTTACACAACAGCAGGAAACATGCAGACGGGATGGGAAAGCCCAGAGAAAGGGAGGAGGATGATGGAGTTAACTGAGGTTTATTTCAAGGAAACAGTCAAAAGAAGAAAAGTTTTAATTTCCTGTAAAGAGCTTTGGGCTGAAATAATTAAACTGCAGTGCAAAGAAGAAAAAGGGAGATCAACAAGAGACAATAAGAATTTAAACAGGCATCATGTGATGGGGAATAATTTCATGATCAATATACGCATTAGATTGTCTCTTATTTGCGGAAATATCTTGATAATTGTCTCCTTGACTGATCAGCTTCAAAAGTTAATCATTTAAAAATACCCTCCAAAGTTATATTTCCTACCAAGTTCGGTGAAAATCCATCTGTGCGTTTTTTAGTTATACTGTACATACACATACATATAGAGGAAGAAAACGATTCCACAGCACAAAACAGGTCTGAGCCTTCAGACAGTTTAAAATTGAGCTTGGTAGAAAAATCAAAACATCACAGTTAAATAATCAACTTATATCAATCACAAAAGGTTGATATGAACCTCCTGTCTGAAAGTGTTGTTGTTAAGCTCCAAAGCATCGTGCACACAGTTTATAAAGACTTAGTGAGGCCAGAATTATCAGCAGGGACGACTACATGTTGGAATGAAATCTGAAAGATGATCAAACTGAGATATGAGTTATATCCTTTTAGTGATTTATGTTTTTTAAGTGTTTTTAGGGCAGGTGCAATATTCAACTCGCTTTTATTCTGCGTTATTATTCTGGGTCTTACAGACTATGTCCTTGTGTCTGTTGCACAATGTACTGTTCTGCAGCTGCTGTAGCACTTTGGCACAAGAACAATGTCCCCATGGGGACAAGTAAATTTGATTTGATTTGAAATCCCAGACATTATTTCTGTTTGTGAGTGATAACCTGATGTAATTATCTTGGAGAGGCTACAGTTGACAGAAGCCCCGAAGCATCTGTGATTAAACAAAGAAATCAAGTCTGAAACTGATACACAACTGTTTCTCAGAGTCTCTGGCATGAACATTTTCAGCTGGACCCAATACAAAAACACACACAGAAACACAGTCAGGCTCACCCTGGCCCGTCGAGCGTGGAGGTGAGAGGGGGACGAGAGGGACGAGCGGATCAGGGGCCTGCTCCGAGTCAAAGGTCGTGAGCGACGTCTAGTCAGTGGCTCACATTTGTCTGGAGATCTGCAGCTGCCCTGATCCTGACTCTGGGCTTGGCTCGCCGTCCTGGCCACAGCAGGGGCACCCTGGGAGGACAGAGAAGCAGTATAGTCAAAAGGGCGACACAGAGAAGGTGCAACATAAAACCAAACACAGCCCAACCGAGAGCTTTTCTGGAGGCATGGACATCCTACGCTGGGAGATATAAAGAGTATCAATTAGAATTACATTTTGTGGGTTTTTATGGTTTACTTTCACTCATTGTAAGAAACTGTCTCACTCTCTGCCAATTCTTCTCTTCTGTTGTTTTGTTTGCTTGTGTTATTTGCAGTTGGGTTCAAAATGAATGATTTTATGCTGAAATCCAACACATCCTGTCATGTCTCACCGCAGCTGTCTCTCCTTCAGTCTGTCCAGCAGCTCCCTGTATCTCTGCTGAGTATTCAGAGGAGCTTCGGTCACTGTGGAGTGTTTGAAGATATAAAGACGATGTTGATGATGTGTCTGCCCCTCAGTCATCAAGAAATAAAAACCTTATCTGAGACCATTATCTTCACTCCCCTAACTGACAACACTGGAAAGTCCATGAGTGACTGTACCACTTCAGGGCTGTGCTTCCCGCTTTTTCCTCCCGTCCAACACTGAGCTTATGACATTGATGTGTGTGCAAATGGGAGAGTGTGTGTGTGTGAGAATGAAAGTGAAGGAGAAATGACATTGATATCTGTAAGCAGCTTCTACTCCAACAAAGATTCCTGTCCACAAATGCACAGATGGACACAATTCCCGTTCATCACAACACACAATGCTTGCTTGTGTAGAAAATTCCCTTTCCGACCTCGTAGAACATTTCCATCAGAGAGAGGGCATGATGCTGTCGCTAATTTCTCAACAGTGTGGTCACAGTTAGATAACAACATCAAGGACTGTGTCCGCTAAACAAAGACCCTTCAGTCCAAACTGAAAGTTACTCAACGTCTCAACTAAACTGTATTTTCACATTCATTCATTGAAATTGTCAATTCTCCTTTTTTAAATGGAAACAATAGAGAGGAGGAGTCTGTGGCCATGCTGGTCCCATTGTCTCTACTTATATATACATGTGGTGCGACGTTGCCCATGTAACGCTAGTATTCCCTTAATTCCAACTAAAGTTTCACGAATGATCGTATCAGGTCACATTCCTAAATGACGCATCAAAATTGCAAATGCCCTAAAGAGTCTTGTGATGTCACAGATATTTTAGAAAAGGTATTTTGCAACGATTGAAAAGGTGCAAAATTAAATGTAGAGGCATCATATCTTATATCAAAAACATGTTTTACCCCATAAATGTTACATTTTGGGGCTACAGCTCCATCGGCCTCTATTCATTGTGGACGTGGAAGTTCTCTCTATATTTGAGTCTCTGGTACTAAACAAACGTTAAGTCACTAAAGCTTTTAAGTCATACCAAGGGAGCAGAGAATATGTGCTACACTTTCATGGTGATCCCTCCATTATACATTCAGACATTTCACTTAAAACCACAATTGTGAATATCCTATACCAGGGGAAACCCCAGATGCTTGGTAGGATTCACTGTCTGGGAACCGTGGCAGTTGGGAGGATGTGTCAGTGGACGCTGACAGACGTCCCTCCAACTAAAAATATCCCTAAAGTTTCCAAGTGTCAAAAATAGAGTTATTGACTGGCTTCCTTGAATATAATTGGCATAATTGAGCCTGTGGTTAAATGTTCAGAGTATAGTGGGTGAGGAAAGAATGAAGAGATAATCACATAATATTTTTTAGAGTGATTATTTCAGGGGGGTTTTCTATCTCAAGCTAATGACAGAAAGTTCAGTTATTGGCCGGCACAGTGGATTAAAGAGAAGTCATGATAGTTCACATGAAGTTCATTTCTTATTTTAAGTTCTTTATCACTCTGCCCTGAGAAAGTCTTTTACTGCCATTCTGGGCTGAGGTCATTTAATCTTAATTACCCTATAAATATTTGACATGTTTGGGATAAATGGTCTTGCTGCTCCTCTTCTCCTCTGAACATTTTTATTGATTTCTCTCTTTTATTGATCATCTTACTGTGCTGCATTGTGAATTTCACCACCAAGGGTCACTGCATGCCGTCTATCCCCACTGCAAATAAAATTTGACTTAGGGTCACATAAAAATACTTGACAGAAAATGGGACACATAAGCTAAACATGTCTGTTTTATGGCCGTTTTTCCAACGTGCCAGACAGTTTGATTGAGATTAGCCTGATTAAATGCAGGCTTTTTATAAGAATTCCTAAACTTCTGTGCTGTTGGTTTAAGAGCTGTTTGAGGTTACCAGATTTACACTGGGTAAGCATAATGAGGCAGCTGGAATGAGGACAACAGAGGAGCGCAGCACAGAGACGCAGCTACAGACGGTTCCTCCTCCAGAAATTATGTTAAATACACCTTTAAAAAAACAATATGCGGGAATAAGCTGAGCGCTCGTCATCTGTGGTCTCTGAGGGGGATTGCTGCAGTTTCCAGATGGATGCCAGACAAATCCGAAAGTACCTGATTCATGAGGGGAGTTAATGGCAGAAAAACAACAGGCCTGGAAACAGTCCAAACTATTATTCTTAATGAATCCACCCCATAGGAGAGACTGCAGACCTGGCAACCCATTCCCCTGAGTAGGCTCTCTGTCCGCCATGTGTGTGGTACCCTGTATGACTTCATGGAGAAATGTGCTTCAGTGTGTGTGGCCACGAAGAGTGTGATGTAAAGTGTTACTGAAGTTATGGGTCTGAAAATCAAATAATATATTGCTGAAGGTAACAGCACTCCCTAACTTCAATGAGATTCTTCTAGTCTATACAAGAAAATCTATATAAATCCTGTCATCATTTTTTAAAATTTAATTCAAATTCCGTTTTTCTGTGCCTTTAAGTCATCTGAGCTTCACTCACCATGGTGCTCTGCTGCTCCGGTTCAGCTTTGGTCTCATCTGGTTTGGAGGAATCAGCCCTTTGGACTTCTTGGTTCTCCTCATTGATATGAACCAACTTGTTCATCAACAGCTTCATGGAGTCACAAGCCACAGCCTAGAAATATGTGGGTTGAAAAGACATAAACGCAGGTAAATGTGGCTCATGGGCAAACTCTGGGGTTAACGTTGCACTGGGGCATTTCATTTATGCTGCCCCCCCAACACACACACACACATACACACACACTCCTCATCCACCTACTCCACCCATTCGTGCTTTTTCAGTAAACACAGTGAACCCCACATTGTGGAGGAGGTGACGCCTTCTTAATGAGATTATTGCAGAGCAAAGACGACAGTAGAGAAAAATGTGTAAAGATAGGTGTTGGCAAGGAATAAGCTGCTTTTGCTGCATCTAAAAACAGCAATGCACCCAATGCACGTCATGTAAACGTGTATTTATCCGTATCACAGTTATGCACATACCTAAACCCTCGCTTTCCCTCTCTTTTCCTTTCCACCCATTGGTCGTTGGCTCTGACTGAGACACTTGTTCGCTGGGGTTCCAGGAAATGAACAAACCGCTTTGTTTCTGGGCTCCGCTGCCAATCCCTTAGTCCCAGAGGCTGATAGCACAAATAGGGCCTCTTTGAGGAGCTAGAAGTCCAAAAACAGCCCCCTCACTCACTCACACACACTCATACATACATACACACACACAAGTATGTCCTCACACACCCACCCACCCACACACACACACTCGTGCACACAAACACACCCTTCTGTCCACTCCTATTCCCAAACCCATCATGCTGACCAGTTTAAAAAATGTCTGCAGTAACAGCTTTGGCAGTAAAGCCATTTCCTGTGTGTTACAGCCCCCACATCTCCAGATTCCTTCACACTGGAACACAGAAGGCTGCCTATGTGCACCAGGGGGCTATTTTTACCCTCACTATGAGGGACAGAGCCGGGGCGAGGGGAGAACACGGGGAGTGGAGGCTTTTTGGTGGCACGAGTGAGTGCAAACAGGAACACACACGCAGGGTGGCATGTGAACTGTGCTAATGTGAACCCACATCATTGCATATATATACACACATTTGCACACACTCACTCTCCACAGTGCTCTCAAAGTTCATGAAATGTTAATGGGATTCTGTCTAAAGTATTTGCTGATGATTGAGCTCTTAATGCATCACTGTATCTCTGCTACACAACCATTTTATTAGTGGTCTGAACTGTCCAGGACAGACTGAGACATCTATTAGCTTGATACACATCACTATGAATAGCTAAAGAAGAGGAACCATAGTGTGCGCTGCCTTTCTGGAGGGAAAATACAGATATATACAATATAGAAGAGAGGAAACACGAAATCAGTCAGTTTTCATTGGCTAAATCCTGGGGATTTGCGTTGCTTTGTATTTTCAATTTCTATCGATGCACCAAAATATAATGTCATTCAGTGGAGCACATACCTCCGCCAAGTCCCAACAGTCCACGTGAATTCAACCAAATTGCACCAAATTTCACAAATTGCCTGATTTTTTAAATCAAGATACATTAACTATTCTTATTAGGGAAAATGTTGAAAATCTAACAATCTACATCAAAATGTAATGGGCTCTTTCTTGGCCCATGTCCCATCTTCCTACCAATCTGTTGAGTCGTTTTTGTGTAATCCTGCTGACAATACAATTCACGGACAAGGCTGGAAACATAGCCTTCCGAGGCAGAGGTGAAAACAAACCAAGTCCAAACCTGATGTCAGATGAAACCAGCTTTCATTCTATACTCTTTTCTGCCATTTAAGAGTTATTATAGTTATGTTATCAGCATCCACAACCACAACAATCAAATGGATTTCAATCATCTAATTGAAAAAGGAAATCTTCAGCGCTCCGTTCTGCTACAGATATAAAAGATATGCACGTCTGCAGCAGTTGCTTCACTGGCAAACTCGTTCAGATGATTTTCCAAATCCAGAGAAGCGTGTGGGACATTCCAGCTATCAGGCTAAATATACCACCAGAAATGAGCAATTCATGAGGACGGGCAGTTGCACTTTTTGTGAACTGCAAACAAGACGGGGGTTCTTTACGATGCACAAGTCACTCCTTTGTTCATCTATAAAAATAATATATAGTAGTGTTGTGCACTCAAGTAAGAAAAAAAAAAAATTCATAATATTTTCTATGAGAAAAGTACAATGAGTATTAGAGTCACAATTATAAGACTCATTTCTCTTTAAAGGCCATTTAAAAACTTTGCTCTACATTCCTCAAATTATTTCATCTGGCAAAGTTGTTACCCACAATGAGGAGTGTGACGAAACTGCCCGAGCCAAGATATTCCAAGTATGTGGAGGCACAATGGGGCCACTCAGACTTAACAGGTATTCAAATGAGCATTGGCCCGGACCTGTCAATAAGTGACTTTAAAAACCACTTGGTCAAACTCTGAGAACGACGTTCTGAAAGCAGCGAGGGGAGAACAGATCCTTTCACTTCAGGCCAAGAGGGGATTGCGGTGTGCCAGCGGAGCATTATGGGAACGTGCCAGCGTCTGACGGCCACTCTGACAGGTGTGAGAACATGGTCGGGGGGCAGGCTCACAATAAAGGATGCCCACTGGTAGAGTAAATGCTGGGAAGTGGAGCCAGGAGAAAAATGAGAGGAATGTATGATTGAGGGTTTAGCAGCCAAAAGATTTATTTTTATTCAGGTCCCACACATAAACACACTGTGTTCAACCTTACTTCAAAAATCATATACAAGAGAACTGATGCTGTAGTAAGAAAGCTCTTTATGACCTCCACCAAGGAGATTATGTTTCTACCTGTGTTTGTTTATTTGTTTGAAGGATTACACAAAAACTGAATTCCACCCAACATGCTGGAGAGACGGGATCTGGGACGCACCCATTATATTTTGGTGCGGATACAGATTGAGGGGCAGGTGTATGACTGTTTTTGGAAAACAACTCTTCTTTTTTCTTTTAATCTTCTACTATAAGAAATAGACGATGTCCTTAGACAGCCTTTACTGTATCATATGTTTTCACCTTTGTTGATGGTCAACAGCACAGAAATACAGGAAACATGGAGAGAAAGCAGGAAGTGGATAACAGTGGAAGAATTATGCTAAAGTCGAATCAAGGACATTGAGAACACAATTTGCATTTCAGAATCTTTGCATCTTTGACCGAACCTCAAAAAAGAAACACTATCCTGTTGGTGTGTGTGGACCCTCTGGTATCCTGCACCAGGTAAATACAGGACTGAGTCAGAACACATGTGCTACAGCAGCACACTGTACATAATACACAACATACAACAGGTATGTATGTGGAAACTCACTGGACCCGCAGTTAAAAAATACTCAGGCTGAACTACCTGTAACAATTAGACATTGCTGCTCTCTAGTGGTGCAAGTAGGATTCACAAAATGTGTTTTTTCACTTGAGAAATCTTTGGTATGTGGCGGTAATAAAAGCACAAGTAATAAAAAAGTAATGATTGTTCACTGTCACACTGTCGCGTCTCATTGAGAGAAACTTGAGCTGTTTTTAGTAAAAGCTGCTTTTTCTGCTTTAACAAGACAAATGTATGAAGGTCTGTCTGAAGCTGCTGCAGTTCTTTCTTTCTAGAATTATACATCTCTGACCTTGTTTTCAAACTATTCCTGTCTTTTATTCATTTATCCTTTACTTAACCAGGAAGGTCCCACTATGAAATAATATACTAGCAGGGACAGAAAACAAAAAAACAATATGTGAAAAATACTCAAAAAAACAGCAAACACAGGAAATGAATGACAAAAATGATTTATGGGAAATAAAAAAGTTCAAACGTGTGAAAACGGATTTTAAAACATTTCTCAACACACCAGCAGTTGTTTTTCTTACCTGTTTTCCATTGTTCTCCTCTTCCTCCCTGCCACCTGTGGACTTGGTTCTGCCCTGGTTGGTGGGCTTCGGGCGGCCAGCTGCGGAGCCAATAGGCTGGGCATCCTGTCTCTTCCTCAAGCACTTCCTGTTCCTGCTCAAGTTTCTACGGCGACGACTGACCAGGAATTCCTTATATTGCAACGTCTCCGGAAAGTCATCATCCTCGTCATTGTCACCCTCTCCCTCCTCCGTGTTGGGCGAGGAGGACTCGTCGCCATCAGAGCTATCGTTGGACAAAGTCTCCCGGTTGTCACAATCATAGTCACAGAACACGATGACGCTCGGCTGGTGCTTCACTATTCTGAGCACGTCTGATGAACAGCCTTCTGATGGAGACACACTGGGGCTTCTTTCTTGTTGCTGAGGTGATGTGGCTCCACAATGAGAATTATTATGAGCAGCAGCTCTGTTCTCCTGGTCTGACACCTCCATGTCTTTTCCATGAGTCACTTCTGAGCTTCCGCTGTGTCCTTTCTGCTTTAAGTCAGGATTTGTTGTATCACAAGTGGAGCTGTTATCCACCTTCATCTCCCTCCGTTCGTCATGACTGGCCACAGGCTCTGGAGCACAGTTTAGCAGAGGAACAAGTTCAGACATGGTTCTCCTGCAGTTGCTGGAGCTTTGAGTCAGGAAGGGAACTTGACCTTGCGGGCCATGCAGAGGGACACCCACCGCCTGCAGGTAAATATCCCTGTTAGGCTGCTGCTGAAGAACAGCCGCTACCGGGCCTTCGAGCATTTCTCGTGAACCAGTCCTCATCTGTGAGTTGCTTTCTGGTGAGCACACCTTTGCCTCATGAACAGATCCTGATGAATCAGCAGATGTGATAAAGCAGCTAAGATGAAGCTGTGAGTCGTCGGTAATTTACACTTTAGCCCACATTTGAATTCCCCCAGAAAATACCTGAGCTGGAGACAGAAGGAGAGAGAGAAAGAGCGTGAATGAAAACCTGGGCAAATTGATTCAAGTTCACACTAAAGAACAAATGTATGTAATGATCCAGTGTCGGTGGTTTTCTCTTGGTCAATGTTTACTGTAGATATGGATTCAGGTGTGATGCTTAAGAAGAAGGATAAGTTTGCATTTTATGATTGACTTATCATTTTTGTCTTGGAACATAGAGGCCTTCAGGCAATGAGACATGGTCCTCTACGCAACTATAGCTTATCGATCTACCAGAGTTTGAAACTGTACTGGACTTACATTTTAAAATTGAAATAACTTATTATAGTAATCATACCTAGGTTCGGTCAGGTTTTTATTTCTAACATGTTTTAAAAATTGTTCAAAATAAAAAATATCAGTGGGCAAGTAAGAAAAGGGCACAACAAAAAAGTGACGACAAATATTCAAAATAAATTAATCCTGTCCAAAGAGGAGAAAAAGGAAGATGTGAATAATCATCATACCAACTTTTTTCATATTTCATCAGAACATTTTGTGAACTGCGCAATATTTTGGGGCTTAAGTGTAAATTGTAAAGAAAAATTTATTTGTCATGCAAAATTAAACAGTGTAAAATATGGTATTGCCATTATCTATTAAAATGTGATTTGCTGATACTGGATATTTAAGGACCATTGATGTGATTGGTCCATGCAGGCCAACGTCAAGAAAGTTTGTGTTTGTGACAACCCCACAGCAAGAAGCTGTCAGACTTTTTCAAAAGAAAAAAGCATTTTGCTCAAACCCATTGTTTTTTCCTGGAAGATATTTCTGGCTGCGGGTAACACACCCTTCCCTCGCCTGACGTGTTCTCTCACACTCGCAGTGGTGGGTCTGAAAATCAGCTTCAAACCCTGGAAATTCCTTCACTTTAAAACTCAGACTGCAGAACTTTCCTTCAAGAGTTTCATTGTACACACACATGAGAACAAAGACACATTTGTTCAAAAACCAAGTGTCAGCGAGTCTGTGGAAAAAACTCTAAAGTAACATAGTAAGTAATTCAAGTGGTAAATACTAAACAATTAAAACAAAAGGTGTTTGTAACTTTCACATCTTTCGAGAAAAAAATATTAAAGGTACTATATGAAGCTTTTAAGTATAAGAGAATTCATATGTCAACGTACCAGATGGTTCAGCACAGGAGTTGTTTCATTCACGAACTCATCCAGCGCAGCAGTGTGAAGAACAGGGAGGCAACGCGGGTATCCAGCCACGGCAGCTTGGCACTCGTAGGCTGCATGACACAGATGAGACAGATAGAGAGGGACTTTAAGTCTGGAAATATATGAAAAGCTGTGAGGGGGAGGAGAGAAGAAGAAAAGGCTGAGGAATTCTTTTCCCTCCTACATTACCTCAGAGAGGAGACTAGGGGCTCCACAGGCAGGTGTTCGTGCTGTTGTGGTGTGTGTGTGTGTGTGTGTGTGTGTGTGCGCGTGTGTGTGTGTGTGTGTGTGTGTGTGTGTGTGTGTGTGTGTGTGTGTGCGCGTGTGTGTGTGTGTGTGTGTGTGTGTGTGTGTGTGTGTGTGTGTGTGCGTGCGTGCGTGTGTGCATGCGTGCGTCAGGGGTAAAACCTGTGATTCGTGTGTGAATGCAGGCAGGAGAGAAGTTGTGTAATTGATCAAACTGATAAAATAGCTGCACGTACATTTGTCTGATCTTATCCAATTGACTTTGATTGAAAAGCTTTTCGTCTCCGTTGTGCCGTTCACCTTCCCCATTCCTGCCTCTCACTCGTTGCTGTATAATGTGGCTGCAGGCGAAGGATTTTTCACCTCAGAAGCACATTCCTTGACAACACATGAGGTAATGCCTCAAACATGTCAAACTGGCCCTCACTCTAGATCTCTTTCCCTTTATACCTTTTTGAAACTGCAGCGTCTTTGAGTCCTATGGTCAAGAAAAGGGACTTCAGTTCTTAACAAATCTGTCGACACACTGCGGAATTCCTCAGGTTTGCCTGCAAACATTGAATTTTCATGTTTTTTGGAGGAACGTCCTCAGTCAGGACTAAAGACCGTCTTCTTGTAGGTTAACACTGAGGATGATTCTGCCTGTTGAGGCATGTTTGACCATCAAGGTCACAGGGACAGAAGATTTGGTCAAGGTTGAGGAGTTAAGAGCACACTGCTTCTAAACTGAACTGCTCTCTGCAACATTTCTTCACTCACAAACAATCTGTAAAGGGTCCGAGGTATTTGCTAAAAACTCTCTCTCTCTCTCTCTCTATATATATATATATATATATATATATATATAAACATTATATCTTTCCAAATAAAATCCTCTTGTTGTGATATTCTCTCTTCACGATAAAGCATCAGCACAAGTTGATGCGGCTGTTACACTGTCCCATGTTGCCAGGCTGATGGATGCATATCAATTTAACTCAAACATTTCGATACAAGCAACGCCAGCTTGCCATGACACGCTCGTCCATATGTAACATTCCTGCAGAGAGGTAGTTACCTGGGTCAGGCTGAAGGAGCGCAGGGTAGAGTAAGAGGAGAAATGAAGGCAAAGGTTGACAGATTTATTCAGTTTACATAAAGTAAAACAAAGATAGAAAGATAAAAGTTTATGAAGATTGAATCACGTAAGCTGTATTATTTTGGCCGTGTAAACTATACACACATGAAGCCTAATAATGACAACAAACAGCCAGAAAAGAGAGAATGTTACTTTGCAACTTCATCATTGTGTGACCCAAAAAATTGGAATTAAAATCCTGACGACGAAAACCAATTTTCTTTGTTGTAACATGAGCCCTAAAGGGATATAATGTTTTCACAGTTTATTTATTCTTTCCCTTTATTTTATTTTGTTAAATTAGTACCCTGTATGAAAAACCAACCAATCTACCGTTTACAGCTCAAACCTTCTCACCACAGCACAATGTGCAGACTGGGAACATCGTGATCTTGTGTTTCTGTTGTTTGGGATTAACTGTCTCACATTCCTTGGTGCCATCAGACTGTTTCGTTGCAGTCTTCATAAACACACAGAAATCTGAATCAGTAAAGGATAGATGTTATCTCTCCAAATGCATAAAGGTTAGAGAAAGAAAACCTGCTGCTGGGCCTCTTAACCCCTCAACATACCCTGAGTTTATTACCACCTACACTGTTTGTCCTGGGCTACACGCACATACACACACACCCATGTCTCCATGACTTCAGAGGACATTACCTAACCTTTGCCAAACCTAACATTAACCTAACACTAACCTAAACTTTAACCTAACATTAACCTAACATTAACCTAAACTTTAACCTAACATTAACCTAAACTTTAACCTAAACTTTAACCTAAACCTCGTGTTTGACAGATTTAGGTGAAAGGGATTTATTAGCAGAAATGGAATTATTGTTTTCTTTATTGTTCCCTTTATATTTAAATACTTTATATTTACATCAGAAGTGAGTCCTCTCTCTACGGAGGCCGCCATATATTTTTTTTTTACAGTAGCCCAGACCGGACAAACTAAACAACTTTTGAGTTTTAATGAGAACTGAAGGCCGCCACAGCTTCTCTCTTAGGTTTGGAAGAGGAGGGTGAGGTGTCGAGTATTCACATTCACACACACACACACACACACACACACACACACACACACACACACCACCAGTGATAGAAGATAGTAATCCATCATTTTATGTACATTTACTTTTCTACTTAAATAAAGTATTTGCTTTTAAAATATACTTATTGACAGTAAAAGTACTTGCAGAGTGTCCGGGTCCATCTCAGGTGTTTCTTCACCAGCACACCTGCAGAGCTTTTTCTTCTTCTTGGTTTGATGGCGGTTGGCAGAGCAGCTAACAGGCGCATTACCGCCACCTGCTGGACTGGAGTGTGGATCAACAGATCTGCAGTGAGGAAAACAACAGAAACTTAATTTCTCTCTATTAAACCTGCTTCCTTGCCGTGGCCATAACTTAAGAATAATTAAACTTTGTTAGATTCATTGTCAACATCCGTCACTCACTTGTGCATAGAAATGTACCTGAAAATAAATATAATCAAGCAAACATAGATATATGAAACATGCACATTAGTACAACAATGCGTTTCCACTGTGTGTATTTGTTTTACTTTCATTGTAAATTACATTCTGAGGTTGTTTATAACTTTCGCCCTCCGCCTTTTTGTCCCCTTCGACTTTCCGTAGCTTGTCCGGAAGTAGCGGCGCGGGTTGTGTGAATATTTCGCGGGAGATCAGCAGCGGCCACAGAGACTGTTTAACTGTCAACACGAAGTAAAACTCTCTCTGAACTCAACACGATGAGCCTGTGGGTGGACAAATACCGACCGACGTCTCTGGGTAAACTGGACTTCCACAAGGACCAAGCGACTCAGCTGAGAAACCTGGTGAGAAGAGAAACAACCTGGTTCGGGTTAGCGTCACGTTCAGCAGCTACACACCAACACGTTCAGGCTAGAAGAGACTTGTTGTGCTCGAGAACTTTGTCAAAATCAATCGTTTACGTGTTAATTTTTGCGTTTCCATTTAAGCTAGCTTGTTTGAGGTAGCAGTGTTCGTGTTAGCTTGAATCACATCATGCTACACGTGTTGTTTGGGTTTTATTTTATCCTCTAAAGTTTAATGTTGCTGCTCATCAGAATAAATCCAGCTGGCTGTAAGTAGGAGGAGATTTTAGTTTGAGTTAAATGTCACCAAAGCGTCATTTTACTCCATTGAGTGTCAACAACAGCAAGGAAACATACGTCATAACCTATGGTCATAACACATTCACAGTTACATTGGACACATTTAGAAGAGTAGCACGTGTTTTTCTTTAAATCCATTCGGTAAATAAACCTCTTTATAGAATCTCTAGCTCTCCCTGCATATACTGTTTACTGCTGGCTGCTAAGTGTAATGAGAGATTAAAGGTAAAGAGCAACAATAACAATGATAAGGTGTGAATTTCTTACAGTAAATTCAGCTTTGTGCAAAGGTTTGGGCAAGTTGCATGATTTCTCGATTATTTGATGGTTTTGTTTCCATGGATATTAAAATGAGGCTTTCTTCCAGTGTTATTGCGCTTACTTTAAATTCTATGAACAAAATCTCGCTCGACGGGTGTTGACTTGCTTCATTAGTCTTTAAAGTGTATTCTGGTCTGTTCTAAGTTGATCCATGTTTTTGTGAACGTTTGTTTCAGGTTCAATGTGGCGACTTCCCGCACTTGTTGGTGTACGGTCCATCGGGGGCGGGGAAGAAGACCCGCATCATGTGTCTGCTGCGGGAGCTGTATGGAGCTGGTGTGGAGAAGCTTCGCATAGAGCACCAGACCATCGTGGTGAGAGAGTCTCAACACTACAACACACAAGTCACATGTGGTGTCTCTACTTTGAGTCACGGTTGAGACGTCAGATGAACGTTTAGTTGATTTGCTGTTTGTGGGTTTTTCTGAATTCAGGCTCCTTCAAAGAAGAAAATTGAGATCAACACAATAGCCAGCAACTATCACTTGGAAGTCAATGCCAGGTACCATTTTGTGCTACCTTTTACTCCTTTACATTATTATTACTTCACTGCATTCAACAATAACTGTTGCATATAATAGCTCTTAGTGTTTCTGTCCTGTGTTTTCCAGTGATGCAGGAAACCAGGACCGTGTGGTGATTCAAGAGCTGATTAAAACCGTGGCTCAGTCTCAACAGATCCAGTCAAGCACCCAGAGAGAGTTTAAAGGTAGAAAAGACAAAACCCACTGGTCTCAGAGCCTCAGCTTTCCCTGATGCCCCCCCCCCTCTGGCTTTGATATCACACTGTCATTCTCGTAGTAATCTCCACACTTTTTCCTTCTCAGTGGTGTTGCTAACAGAAGTGGACAGACTCACGAAGGATGCTCAGCACGCTTTGCGTCGCACTATGGAAAAGTATATGTCCACCTGCCGGCTCATCCTCTGCTCTACCTCCACCTCCAGAGTTATTGGGCCAATTCGGAGCCGTTGTCTGGCAATCAGGGTTCCTCTGCCGAGCACGGAAGAGGTAGAATAGATGTAGAAGTTGCTTATTAAAATGCCCCACCTTTTCTTTATAAATCAGGATCAAGGGATTTTCAAACTTCTTTTTTCGTCTTGTTTCTTTCAGGTCTGTAATGTTTTGACATCAGTCTGTAAAAAGGAGGGTTTGCTCCTCCCGCCTGAGCTCGCCAAGCAAATCAGTGAGAAGTCCGGTCGCAACCTCCGCAAAGCTCTCCTGATGTGTGAGGCCTGCAGAGTGCAGCAGTAAGTTGTGATGTCTCAGCATTATCAGTGGATTAGTATAAACAAAATGTTTTTTTTCTTATTCAGGCTTTGTTTATCTCCTGCAGGTATCCGTTCTCAGTGGACCAGGACGTCCCAGAGACGGACTGGGAGGTGTACCTCAGAGAAACAGCCAATGCCATTGTCAGCCAGCAGAGCCCTCAGAGGTAAGAGAGGCAAAGTGTAAGAGAGCAGAGGGTTGGTTCTGTTGGAGAGTAAAGGAACGTAATCAGACTGAATCTGTCTTTATTCCAGGTTGTTGGAGGTTCGAGCCAGACTGTACGAGCTGCTGACTCACTGCATCCCTCCTGAGATCATCATGAAGGTACCATTTACCATTAAAGTGCTCAGACAATTTAGAGTAATGTTCATGATGATAAGTATTTATTTTCCTTGGCCCATCCTGTGACAGGGACTGGTGACGGAGCTGCTAAGTAACTGCGATGGTCAGCTGAAGACGGAGGTCGCCCACATGGCGGCTTACTACGAACACAGGCTGCAGCTGGGAAACAAAGCCATCTACCACCTCGAGGCCTTCACAGCCAAGTTCATGGCCATCTACAAGAAGTTCATGGAAGACGGTCTGGACGCCATGATGTTTTGACTCTGAATGGACTTAAATACTGTTACTTATCTTGAAGTTGGAGATCAACAGCACTAACAGTTTATTTCTTGAAATCTTTCCTCTTGGCCCACACAAGACTAATATTACAGATGTACATGTGTGTTCTGTGGCAACCCCAGTTTGAATCTTGACAGTAGCACTGGACAGTTCAGTGAAATACAGATCATACAGAACACACAAAGAAGAGAGAATCTTCTTAACAGTGTTAAGTAGAAGATTTACAATAAATTGATTTGTTTTTCCAACATGTAAAAAGTCTGATATTGCTCCATGCACAAAACATGGATTTTTACCATAAACTGTGTTTTTCCACTTCACTCTCGTAGACCATCACTCCTGTTGAGTATGACAGAACATGACACTGCCCTCAACACGATTCAGTATGTGAGACAGTCAGAGAACATGGGGAGACGATTCTGCAGGTTTAAATCTTTGAGATTTAATTCACCAGAAACTGTCGTCAGTGTTTAACAGGTAAACAAATACTCATCATCATCACAGAACTGCACAAACTAGTCTAATGAAGCAGATAAAAATATTCTGTTGGGATTTTCTAGAAACCCATAACAGCAGGTACACAATGCAATACAATGCATCGTCCAATGGTGTCTTACTCTGGATATCTTCTCCTTGTGAGTCTGTGGGAAATGACCGTCTCTCTGACCAGCATACCACCCCCCCAAAAAATAAGTTCTTCCTGTGACACACAACATTACCTGGAGCTGATAATTCTTGTGGTAGTTAAACCTGAATAATAAATAATATGCAGAGTTTTCCTCTGTCACGACCATTTTTCTAAAAAATCAGGAGCAGCAGTGTCTTTAAAAGATTCAATGACATTTCCAGGTTCATCAGCTGTTAAATGTGCCTCAGCTACTGTAACAAATTTAAACCATCTTTAAATAACACTCAATAATGAGGATTTTACCACAAAGTACTTATTCAAACCTCATTTAGAAGAAAGTCAACAGACGAACTATAATTACAAACTGACATGAACTCTACACACGCTGAACAACAAGCTCAATATCTTCTGTTGAGACTCATTTATAGAACAGTGAGAATCCTCAGTAGCATTCTTTGTTTCTCTTGGCTGTGTAGTAAATGATGAGGCACAGGGTGATCAGCACCCCTGAGCCCACAAGTGTCAAGAATCCCACCAAAGGCCTCTTCACCAGCACGTGGCAGCCCAGGCAGGGCTGAGGGGAGCTGGGACACTGCTGCGGTGCGGCCCCCGGGATGGGGAAGCCATTGTGCTGGATGATGTTGCGGTAGTTGGAGAGAGACGCCTTGACAATGACCTCCTCGTGGACTTGGCCGTACAAACCGAACCCCGGGTCCCTTTGGTCGCTCAGCGCGTACGCAAAGTAACCCTTCAGGTTGACGCCGTCCAGAGTGTACGCTGAGGAGGAAACGCCAAACATGGGACATTATTAATTTATGTGTGCATGTGAAGGTGAGGTGGTGGACTGGATGTGACCGTAGAAAAAAGGCAACACAACCTTTAAACAAAGTATGTAAACACAGAATAAAGGATTATAAATGTAGTGTGGTGCTGCCACTCAGTGGTGACAGAGCAAACTGCAACACAATAACATGACAGCACAACCTCTCGTGACTTCTTCACAGAGTAAAACTCCACAAGGACAGAGAACTAGATAGTGAGTGACCTTGACTCACTTCAGTGCAGAGTGAGTACCTCTGTTGACATTTGTGTGTGTGTGTGTCTGAGTGTGTGTGTCTGAGTCAGCTGGCTGTTCAGAGGTCAGTGACCTACATGCTCAGGTAATATTTAAGCCCTGTAGACGTTGTTTAATGAAAGAAGAGGGAGGATGTCAGTTACGTATGCAGGACTGATGACTCTACACAACCACACTGATAATGTGTTAATCCTTTGAGCCCTCACTCAGGGAAAACTTCAACATCTTACATGTGTATATTATATTATTTCTTACTATATTTTTTTACTTTCTACCTCCACCAAGGTTATGCAAAGGATTATGCAAAAACTACTTAAGTAATTTCCACAAAACGTGTTGGGTAGCAGAAGGATGAGACATGAAAAAACCCTTTATAATGGATTATTAACATTCTATTTTATCTCCACAGTAAATGTGTGTGTCTGTGTTCTCACCTTTCAGAGCCTCATTTATGTAGTTGTACAGGTAGTAGACTCTCAGGCTGTCTTTAAAGCGGGCTGGGTCTTCCTGGACCCCGTTAGCCATCACAAAGACGGGGACGTCACAGTAGTGCTCCTTCACCTGACACAGAAATGTTTGAAGGAATTTCTCTCTGAATATTCGATACCATGTTTTTCCACAAAAATGACATACCTCATCTGCAAAATCAATGAGAATAGAAATATTGTGCTACACACATTTTCCATTATGTGCAATGAGCAAACATCTGCATGAAGATTATCTGCTCGATGTCTGGGGGAAAAGTCTACTTTACACACGACTGTAAATGAAAAACAGATAAGATGTGAATGAACCAGCCACCAAACACACAGTGAGTCTGACTCCCCCGTCCTCTCTCACCCAGTTGAGGGCTTTCCTCAGGCCCCAGGGCACCACAGGCCTCGGGGACATGATCCACGTGGTGTCGATCATGTGTTGGACCTCCAGCATCGCCGTGTAGGTGTACCTGCAGACATGGTGATGATACAGACGCTCATTATGGGATGTAATCTCAACACGTCACTGCATTAGAGCAGTATAACCGTTTTCTGTTGCATCTCATACCTCCACCCTCTCTCCCCCTTTGTTTCCCATCCGTCACTGTCAAATTAAAAACGGATTTAAACTTACGAGTCCTCCTTCGCATGTGTCACCAACTTGGTGCTGAAGTGACTGATGGCAAAGAAGTCGTACGTTCCTTTAACCAGCTGTCTGTCATCTTCATTGAAGACCGGCAGCCTGTGGAGACGATAGAACAGTAGAATTTTAAGTACAAGTTGCTCAATTAACCATATTGTGCACAGTTAGTATTAATATTAATGACAAAGCATAAGCTTTCAAAATGACTTAATCAACCCAAGAAACCATCGATCCCCTTTTAATGCAGCACTGGGATGAAACTCAAGACTCAACAGATCATCAATAATCTGCTGCAGAAAGCATGTGGTGGGTTTTTGTAAAAAGTTTTCAGGGTGAGGTCGGTCAGAGCAGAAAATGTTCCCGACTGAAAGCTCTGGAATTTGAGATCTGTAATGAATTCCCTGACACTCAGTGGCGATAAATGAAAAGTCAGAGGATCATCCAAGTCCTCCGAAGACCATGAATGTCAGAATAAAACTTCACTATTCGTACTCCAGTGAGTTGAGCTGACGCAGCCAGCTCCTCATCCCCAGAGGATAGTCCCCGCTGCCAAAGATCGGCTCCGCGAACCATCCGACGCTGAAGTCCAGGACCCTTTTAGCTGGTTCCACGTCCTCACGGCTGAAGGAGAAGGCCGGTTCCACCCAGTCCATGTGCAGAGCCAGAGACACCTGAGACACAACAGTAAACATGGCAGCACACGTCTGAGACATTTCTCTTGTTGATTCCAACCGCTGCTAAATGTGACTTACGTTTATAAAATAAAATTAGGAACTTGCAGGATTAGTTGTGTGACATGCATGAACCCTTGAACTAAAAACAACATAAAGACTTCATTAAATGTAACGAAATTTAAACTGTATCTCTGTACTGACCTGTCCTCCCTGTGTTTGTCTAAACTCGCGGTCGTAGGCGCGCCAGGCCAGAGCGTGCGCCCGCAGCATCTGATGCCCCTCCTGGTAGCTCACCATCTCGTCGTTGGGCTCGTTCAGGGTGATCCACATCTTCACGTGGGCGCCGAGTTCTCTGTAGCAGAGTCTGGCGTAATCTGCGAACGCCTCCGGAGTCTTCCTGACAGAAAAGTCAGGACATCTTTATTTTTATACACTGAGATGTATCACGGGTGACATTTATCACTTGCATGGTAGTTCTGTCCCAGCTGCATTTGGAGGTTAAATGTGAGCAAGTTAATTTATCAGTTTATCAGCATTCAATTATTTTTTAGGCCGAAATACCAAAAATTCACAGACATTTCAAATTTCAAATGCGATTTTCTTTATCACTTTCTTTTTTGATACAAATAGTTTCAAAAAGTGGATTTGAGTGTTGGGAAACCATGATGGACATTTTCATGATTTTCTGACACAAAACAACAAATTCAATATTCTGTCAACAGAGAAAAAATAATTAGCAGATTAATCAACAGTTAAAGTATTTTATCAAAGCTATGTCAAATACGATGATGACTGTGTACAGTGACGTATCTTTATGACAGGAAGAGGAAAGATGTTACCATGGCAGCAAGAGATAAAAGACAGAATGTTTCTGGGAACAGTGTTGAATGTTTACTTTTACATCGGAACAGTCGTAAATCGTCATAAAGTGTAATAAATTACATCAGATGAAGGAGGTGGGGGGGGGGGATGTTACTGCTCTGTATTTGGCACAGATTTCCAAGTTCTACCGATAATGACGCTTGTTCAACCCTCGTGTAAATGATGTAACGTTTGAAACCAAATAAGAAACTGAAGGAAGAGTCGTGAGATGGAAGAGTGTAGTTTAACTCTCAGGCCTCGGACATCAAACCAACATGTCCAGCTCCAGCGTCTGTGTCTCTACCTGTTCAGCCACTTGTTGGTGGTATCCAGCGGCGCCGGCAGGCTGCTGCGCTGGCGTGTGTGGTGCCACAGCGTGACCACGGGTGTGACGTTGGCCTGCAGCAGCTGGTGGGTGAAGCAGCGGTAGTAGCCCAGCAGGGTGGTGTTGGGGTGAGCCACGTCGCCCGTGGGCACCAGGGCCGACCAGTTCAGAGAGAAATGGAAGTGGTTTACTCCGACCTGCTGGATTTCATTGACCTGAGGAGAGGGAGGAGGATAAATAAGGCAAAGCTTCAAATACTGTTCATAGTGTACATGTAGAAGTCCTGCAGCTTGTATATTCATAAGTGCCATTCCCTACACACCATAAAGCAAGATTTATAGATCTTCAAAAAACTGTGACTGTGAAAGAACCAGAGGGCCACTTTATTATGATGTTTTCACTTTAATTCAAATTTCAATAAAAAGGACATGATCCCTCACTGACTTCCCACAACTTATATTTAATCACAGACCTATAGCTCCACGTGTGAGGCTCATCGTGCACTTGAGCTGTTTAACTTATCAGTGTTTAACCGGGAGAGATACACACTTGTTGTCGGACGGTGGCGTAATCAGCACAGTGTGCAGTTCTCCGTAGAGGTGGCGCGCTGAAGCCCTCCAGCCTCACCAGGGCTCCAT